TGGTTATAAATACTTTAGGAGGTGTTTTCTAAAGTCATAAGAAGTTAAAAAATACAATAAAAAAATAAAATTTTTTTAAATTTTAAAGTGTAGTAGTACCTTAAAAAACCGTACTAACAATGTCCTAGAATCAAATAACAGACAACTGAAACAAAAATTTGGTGTACATTAGGGTGGTCCAAAAAAAGTATAATCGGAATTTAAATGCTCTCATCCCCTAGGATTGTTCTATATAGAGAAAAAAATACCCCTATTTTTTTTTAAAATAAAATAGGGGTATTTTTTTCTCCATATAAAACAATCCTAGAGGGTTAGAGAATTAAAATTCTGATTTTATTTTTTTCCATGTATTTTTGGACCACATTAGTGTACATCTGCAAATATGGACATTCACACGTAAGTTAATACTTCTTTTCTTATTAATTAATTAATAAAAATTCTTCTTAATTATTTCTTCTCTGAAAAAAAAATATTAAATTATATTGATATTTCTTTATAGAAAAACTTGTGAGTATGCAGCAAGGTTTACGGTACGATTTAGAATCTTTAAGTCATGGTAGACATATTACGCGTCTACCAAAAGCTTAAAAATGTGGCTAAAGATATTTTAATAGAGGAACATTAACAAAAAATGAAATCGACAAACCGACCAACGTCTATGGAGTTCCTTGGGAATATGATTTTAATATTCATAAATCCGATTTATGAATTATTAAATAGTGATAACAACCTAGTGTGCACGTTCTAGAACTGTTCTAGAACAAATTATAGAAATAAAGAACAGTTCTAGAACGGTTCCAGAATTGTTCCAGTACGTGCACACTGGGAATACAGATGATTGATGCATGCTTATTATGTATATTTTGAAAATGATAAACTTTTTCTTACATTCTTTTGATTTTGTGTAAACAAAATGAGAATTACAAGCAATTTAATTAGACAGCAGTATTATTGATATTAAATTTTTAAAGAACTTTATTTAAATAATGTTAAAAAGTAGAATTAAAAAATTATACTACTGTGAATTTCTACATAATTTTAAGAAAATGAAAATGCTGTTAATCGTATTTTTCGTAGTGTAAACTTAGTAATTTGCATTGTTCGTAAAATAAAAGTTCGCATAGCTCGTAAGCGACTTTTGATTTTGTGTAAACAAAATGAGAATTACAAGCAATTTAATTAGACAGCAGTATTATTGATATTGAATTTTTAAAGAACTTTATTAAAATAATTTAAAAAGAAATTGAAATTCTACGTAATTTATAAAAAGGCCGTTTAAGAATTGTTATTTTTTAAATTAAAATAATAAAATTATTGCATTTTTAAATAAATGTTTTTTTTATTAACAAATTCGTGTATAGTTTGTAACATATTATGAGCATTTTTAAAAATCATAAAAAATTGTTATTGAATTTTTCTAAATAACAATTGTATTTTTGACAATTTAAATAAGTAATCAAATGTCTTGAAGATTTTTAATAAAATATTTTGACGAAAATCATATTTAAAAAAAATTGTATTTGCTTTTTTTAAGGACAGTTTAACAATTTTTATGAAATCCGAAGATTAATTAATAATATTTTTAATTATTATAATGAAATTTGTAAAAAAATGTTTTAAAAAATTTTAAGTTCCTTTTTTTAAAGAAGTTTCAATTTCCGGAAATATGTCAATAAAAAACAACAAGAATTTTATAAATTTTGTTAATATAGTAATTAAGTAAATAGTAAGAATAATTTTTTTAAACACAATATATTAATTAATTTTCTAATTTTACAATTTTGATTACTTTTAATTTTAAGTTGATTTATTATTAAATTTCATATTAAAAATTAAATTATTCTCTAAATTTGCAATTAAATAAATTTTTAACACTAAAAAATTAATTATTTTTAATACAAAAACTTTCACCTGTTAATTCTTTAAAAACTTTATTTTCAAAATGATTTTAAATTTCGCGCCGAAAAAAAACCCTATATAATTGTCCAGTTGGACAATTTTATAGACAACATATAAAGTAAACACGCATGTCAAAAAATCTTCGATCTTTTGTGCATTCTTATAGTTGGTGATTTGATCAAATAAAAATTCTAACATTTAGTTGTTCGATTAAATAAACTATCAAATTTTAAGTCTTTCGATTAAATAAGCATTTGAACATTTAGTTTTTCGATAAAATAAACATTCGAATTTATAGTTTTTCGTTTAATTAAACATTCGAACATATAATTTTTCGATTAGATAAACAATCGATAATTTAAGTTTTCGCGGTTATGTCTATTCGACTTTTTGATATTCGATTTATTGGGTTTTCGATGTTTTGGGTTTTGGGGAAAAATCATGCACCCGAGTTCGGTACGACTGTTTTTCTAATATTTTAAGAAACCGTTAATATTTTTGCTGTTCTTGGTCTCTATTAAAAGCTTAGATTACAAGAAGTAGTCTGTAAAAGTAACAATTTTTTTCATCAACTTTTCTAAATTTTACTAGGAGTCAATTTTAGGGTAAGAAATTTAAAAAATATATAATTATTTTTTTGTGTTTATAAACATGATATCTCGCTTCCGATTTATACAATACAAATGAAAATAGTGTATTTTCATTTAAAATTTAATAAGCTTTCTAATGCAATTAAAAAAAGCATCTAGCTTCATTTTTGAAGAAGTTATCACTGTTTTTGTGTGGGTGTGTTTTTTAACAGCTCGTGGTGTTAGCGGTCGCTATGTCAAAAATATGTAAATATGTAAATATGTATATGTCCTATGTCAAAAACCATGTAAAACCCTACTTCCATAAAGGAAATCACGTGGTTTACCATGTGGTTTCCCATGTCAAACCATATGGGAAATTGAGACAGGATTTTAGATAGGAATAATCATAGGAGATTTGGACAGTTTGTCTATGCATAAAACCATATCAAATCCCACATGAAATCCTGCATGATTTTCCCAGTCAAATCCTAAACCAAATCCCATTTAAAAAACAGTATCATTTATTTATAATTATTTTTCCAAGTCAATCCCCAAAGTGAAATGCTTTCTCCTTTTTTTTAAATTTTCCCATGTCAAATCCTAAACCAAATCCCATGTGAAAAACATTATCCGCCTTATTGAATATCCCTACATGGGAATCCACTTGGAATTTTACAAGGGATTTCACATAGGATTTTATATGGGAATTGACATAGGATTTCATTCATGATTTCACCTAGGATTTAATATGAGATATGACATAGTATTTTATTAAAGATCCAATGAAGAAATTTTCAAAGGATTACCTAAAAATTATTTAATAAAAAATTAAATAATAAATAGTATTATTAGTTTTACAAGTCATCAAAAAAAGTAAAAAAATCGATAATTTGAAACACGTCCTCTGTGCTACAGGTTCTCAGCTCTTACACTGAAAAAACGTTGGGCGAATTTGTCTCCCAATTTGGGATAGCGGTTCGACTTTGGTGGTGCAAAATCTGGCCCAAAGGTGTCGGTCGCATGCTCACCCTATTTTTTAGGACCAGGATAGGGATTAAACAATACACCACGATTTAAAAGCACTCCAATATAAGAGAAAGGAAATTTATTAAATTCGAAACTTGGAACATTTAAAAAATTAAACTTTTCACGCAACGCGTCTTTTCTTTTCAGCCGGTCAGTCTTACCTAATCGTTCGCAGGCTTCGTCATCACATCATCGTCATATTTCGACAAAATTCGGCATCGTTTTTCGCGGCAAATCCCTACTCTAATGTAATACTCATTCTCTCTCATTATTTCTCTCTCGATGCCACAACATTCTTCCCACATTTTTATTTGTATCTTTGTTACAATTTAAATTCTGCGAACTTATAATTTAATATATCTCTAAATAAAAATCAATATTAGTATTAGAAATACATACAATCATATTAATTAATACAAAGTCAAAATTACTATCTGTCATTCGATTATACAATAAAATAAATCAGCTAAAATCATAAAAGAAAGGACGTCAAATTATTTTTATTTTTTTTAACTTTGAAAATATTCAGGAGCTTTACTTCGTCGTCCACTTCTAGTGGTTACAATTTTTGATTGCGTAATTGCAGGCTCCAATTTCCATCAAGGACAAATTTAATTTCTTTTTTGCAACTACTAAATTATTTTGTTTCTTTCCCTCATCTTTCGATTGTTTACAATTCTCACGAAATCTATTTATCCACGCCAAAAATCGAACAAGTTTAGTATAAGATGCGAAAAAATCACTAACATTAAATTAAGAATCACAAATACTCGTCATTTGTGTCACGACATTTTTCTTTCTTTCGCTAATAATTTCCTTTTCGTTACTATCTTGTTGATAATTAGGCCATTCAGATTCTCGCTGATAAAGCCACGCTGGACCTAACCACCACTGTGAATCGGCAAGTTGAGAGAGGGAACACCCGCGCGACGGTAAATCTGCCGGATTCATTTCACCGGGAACAAATTTCCAACTTTCTGTTTGGCTTAACGTTTTTATTTCTTTCACACGATTTCGTACGAATACTCCCACTCTATTTCTCGCTGTATCCATGCTAGGACTGTTGTTAAATCCGACCAATACTTTTTGTCTAAAATTTCTCGCGATAAGGACTCTGCAACTGTTTGCGTAAGGCGAACACCTATGGTCGCAGCCATCAACTCTAAGCGAGGGATAGTTGCCCCTTTTGGCGCAACTCTAGATTTTGCATTTAATAGTGTAACTTTTACGGAATCCCCCCACTCTACTCTTGCAAAAACAACGGCTGCATAAGCTGCACCACTGACATCGCCAAATGTATGTAATGTTACATTTCCTACACCTTTCGTTCGAGGAATTTCTACATTTTTTAACAACTTAATTTCACGTGACCATTGCAAAAATTCTTTTTTTAATTTTCCTTCGATATTCGCGTCCCAGTCTATTTTCTCTTCCCACAAATTACGTAATATCATTTTTGGTTTTAATGCAACTGGACACGTGATTCCTCTCGGATCAAAAATTTTATGCGTAGCCGAAAGAATCGTGCGCTTTGTTATTAATTGAATATCTTCTGATTCGAATGTATGTACTTGGATTAATTGAAATTGTGTCTCTTTTCTTATTCCAAAGCAAGCCTAATACCAATGTAGATTCTTTTTCAATGTTATCATTCGTGTTTTCCCAAGCTGGAAGGTCAAACCCTCGCGACGCAAAAATTGCAGTGGATTCCTGCACAAATGATTTTATTTCTGTTTCAGAATTTAGACTGGTTGCACAATTATCTACATAAAACGCATCGCACAATTTTTCGACTGTTTTTTCTGACCAATCACATTGCGAATTTTTTGCTTTTTCCTGAGCCGAACTCAAAAGTAACTTTATTATTGCAGCTAAAATAGAAGGACTACACGACAATCCAAACACGACTCTACAATGACGAAAAATCAACACTTTGTCTTCTCGAACCCACAGGAACCTGAGATAATTTCTATCTTTTTCGTTAACGCTTATTTGCAAAAAGGCCTTTCGGATGTCGGCTATCACCCCAATGGCTCTTTCTCTAAATTGATTTATTGCATTCGGCACGAGTTCGATTAAATTTGGCCCCCGTTCTAGGCATTGATTCAACGACGGAAAACCTTCACGTTTGGTCGACGCGTCGTAAACCGGGCGAATTACTGTCGTACTTTGCAACTTGACCACTGGACAATGCGGTAAATAATGAAGACCGTTTTGCATTTTGTTATCCTCAACTTCCTCAATAATTCCTTCAGATACCCACTCTCGGAAAACAGCGTCATAATCTTTATAAAGATTTTTCGTCTTTAATTTCTCAACCGTTTTTTCTCATCTTTTATATGCAATATCATAATTATCGGAAATCGGAGCATGCTCTTCTACCCACGGTAAAAAAATCTCGTATCTACCTTTCTCAGTCAATATTGTCGAATCTATCAAAAACTTTAGCGTTTGTTCGTCTTTTATATTTTTATTTACTTTTTCAATAGGATCTGAAATTCCTATAACGTCTAAACGCCACAAATCGCATGGATCTGCCTCTTTCACAAACATAGCGTTAATCAACATTGCGGAATCTATACTTTTCGTTACATTGGTCAATTTGCCCATAACTGTCCAACCTAATAGAGTTTCGAGCGCAACTAACCCATTCTCTAATTCCATCGCTTGCATCAATATCTGATAAGACGATACTCTTTGTATACAATTCCTCAACCCAACTGTCATGTTTAATACTTGGAACCGTATCACATATCGTACCTTGACTTATCGCTGAAAAGTTACAAGCGTATTGGCCGTCGAGACTTCTCACTCGTATTTTGAACACACTGAGTGTTTCACACTTGGATTTCGCCCCACCAAATAGAGAATGAGTCATTTTCATATTCCCTTCTGAAACATAGTTCATCTCTCTTGCGAGCTCGTCTCGAACATATGATCTTTGAGAACCGGTGTCTATAAGAACTCTTACTACCTTTTCTACATTTTTCGAATACAATAAAACGCGCAATGTTTGTAAACAAATTTTGAACGACGACCCACTAAAACTTGCCAAACTATTTTCAACTATTACTTTTTCGTTACTACTCGAGTCGTAATTTTTTCTCTCTATGCCGTTACCTTGGCCAAAACGCAAACACATTAATAAAACGTGCTTCAGGCATTTAAAACAACATTAATTTATCTTTTCTTTTTTACAACTTCTGACCGTTCCGATAAATTAAGTTTTTGCGCTTCCTCACATTCGCGACTCTCGTGATTCGATTTACAAAAAATACAATTAACAACTTTATTCTCTTCAGATACAAAAAGTACACTCGCCGTAGCGACATCTTTAAAATCATTCTTACCTCGATTTCTTTTACCCTTCTCCTGTTCGGCTGATAGTCCAAATCCGGTCAACGTCATGTCGATTCGTTCCTCGTTTTCGACTTCTGTTTGCAGGAATTCAAGGAGTTTGGTTAGACGATCTTTTGGTTCTTGTTGTCCATTGATGTCAGCTATCTCTCGAACCCCACTCCGCTGCCACGCACGTAACACCTCTTCTGGCAAAGACGACTCTACTAGGGGGTAAAGCATTGCAGCACACTTGTCAGTCGTCACGCCTAATGTACCGAGTGCTCGAATATATGATTCAACTTTATCATATAGCGCAACCACTGATGTCTTCTTATTATTATTTACAGCGTTCTGGAGCACGAGTCCTAACAGCTCGCGCACGTAAAATTCTACCACCAAATCATCTCGTCCGAAACGATTTTTCAGACACGTTATAACTTTATCATAGTTCTCAGCGGTTGGTGGAAAACTATTAACGAGTTCATTAGCACGAGAATCCGGCACGGTTGCTTGAATCATGTATTGGAACTTGTCCTCACGTCTCACACTTAGATCGTCGTGGATTTTCCGAAACTGGCTCCAAAATGGCAGCCACTCGCGCACATTTCCCTTGAATTTTGGAAGTTCGATGCTCGGCAGTTTCATCACCTCTCTGATGCTGGCTGAAGGAGTACCAGTTTGCTGAAATACAGCTGGAGCTGTAAGTGACGACATCTTTACTTTCGACGTTAGAAAGAGCCTCGGCAAAAAATGCCCTTTTTCGTACCTCGAATTTTGAAACTTTTTTTATGCCAAATGGTTACATATGATGACCCAATAATCACTGCAAAATTTCAAGATGAGCATGTACCCCCTTTCCGAAATACAGGGGGTCAAAAAGGGCCATGTCCAATAACAAATCTCCAGGCCCGGATGGAATAAATTATGAATTTTTAAAAAATCTACCTGGCAATCTGATATTATACTTAAATTCAATGTTTAATAGGATTCTTGAAAGGGAGGTGGTTCCTTTAGAGTGGGGGAAAATTTATCTTAAAATGATACATAAGAAGGGTAATATGAAAGACCCGTCGAATTATAGACCCATAGCGCTGATCAGCTGTGTAGCTAAAACATTTACACAGATTCTTTCTAACAGACTGACCAGCTGGGCAGAATCGAATGATCTGTTTCCGGAATGGCAATCAGGATTTAGGAGGGGAAGGAGTTGTCTAGATAATACGTTCACACTTAATGTTTTAATTCAGAATAGGCTAAACCAATCTGGTGGTAAACTATACGTTCTTTTTGTTGACTTTAAGAGTGCCTTCCCCTCCTTAAATCATAACATATTGTGGCAAAAATTATATGCAATGGGTTGCGGGTCTAAATTTATTAACATCCTAAAAGATTTTTATAGTAAAGCAAACTTCTCCGTTAAATGTGAAAAGGGCTCCACTAAACCAATTAAAATAACTCAAGGTGTTTTACAGGGAGAAGTTCTCAGCCCTGTCCTGTTCACTTTCTTTTTGGAAGACATCGAAAAATTCCTTATTTCGAAAGGAATAAGGGGGGTTTCTTTGGATCACAAAACGGAGGTGTTACTGCAGGCATACGCGGACGATATTGCATTATGCGCTGATTCACCCGTAGCGATGCAAAAAATATTAAAATATCTCCACGAATACTGTCAAGAAAACGATCTCGAACTTAATGTAAATAAAACAAAGATTGTTATTTTTAATAAAAGAGGATACATCCGACCATTGAAACAGAAGTTTAATTTTAACTATGGAAACAACATTATTGAAATTGTCAAAAACTATACTTATCTTGGTACGATCTTTACTAATTCTGCGACATTTAAAGATAATTTAGATTGTCAATTAACTAAATCTGCTCTTGCAAAAGATTCGACCCTATCTGTGATATATAAAGCCCATTTGGACTCTTGGAATCATATCAGTCAATTATTTAAGTCTATGGTAACATCGGTAGGGTTATACTCTGTACAGGTTTGGGGACTAAGATATTTGAACGAACTAGAAAAAATACAAAATAACTTCCACAAACAATTGTTATGTCTCCCAAAATGTACCCCAGCGTACGCAGTGAGAATCGAAACTGCGAATTCCCACTTATCCGTTCATATCTTCAAACTAATTTTAAATTGGACAGAAAAAATTCTTAAAATGGAAGATAATAGGTTACCAAAAATAGCATATAATAGAATAAGAGCCTTGAACTCTGGGAAAGGACAAAAATTCAAATTTAACTGGGCATGCCAGCTGGGCAACATTTTTGAGGAGTTTGATGAGAAGGGGGCTTGGGAGTCTTTAAATCTTGATTCTATACAAAAGTTTAAATCACAATGGATAAATTTATATAAAAACCATCTTAAACAGAAAGATTTTTTAAGAGCCCAATTCACCTCCTCATTAATCCTTTATCCTTATTTAAAGATAGAAGACAAAACGCCTTTTTTAATAAACAAAAGAATCCCTTTGGATGTTTACAAATTGTTTGTTCAACTTAAACTCTTTAATAAATATCAGCCGAGATTTGTGTGGAAAAATAAATTCTACGAGTTAAAAAAAAATGATTACTGTAATTTTTGTATGGAAAGGTTTAATGGAGAAAATTATATTTTACATATTTTAATAGAATGTAGAGCACTAAAAGATGAGCGAATGGAAATTATAAAAAATACTGATGATTTGAGTGACTTGAGTGATGTATGGATGAAAATGCTAAACTATCCAGATTTTAAATCGATAAAAAAAATAGCTAAATTCTTATTAAAAATTTTAGAATAAAGGATAGTTTATGAGATGGTATATTTTAATTTTTTAAATATTATAGTATTGTAAGTTCATGCTCTTTTTACTAATGTACGTCGAACTCCTTTGTATGGATTGCTTTCAATCCTAAGACAAATAAATAAATAAATAAATTGATTTGAAACTTGTTACTCGGGGGTTTTTGGGGTCGCTGATTACGATTCTAATGTGGACTAACATTGAAAAAGCACTAACCATTTTTTATTAGTAAATATATTTTTTTGAGCTTACATAGAAAACAAAAAGTAATCTAGAAACATTTATATCTGTAGCACATCATTTAAAAACATCTTTTTTGAATGTGAGCTTAAGAATGTGATAAAAAAATGCAATTTCTTATTACGCAGAACATCAGAATGAAGGAATATTTCTGGTGTCCAAGTTTCAACCGAACCGTAAACACAAAACAGCGGCTATTAGATATCCAGATTTTAATATAAATATCGAAGATCCTGTCTTAATAAAAGCTTACATGAAATCACGATACCGTGGTGGAAAGCTTCATCACATCTTTGTTCTTTTTGATAAGGCCTTAACAGGACGAAATTCGGTAAAAGAATATTTTTGTACGTGTGAAAGTGGGGCTAGGACAGTCGGCTGTTGTAGTCACATTATGACAATTATATGGTTTCTTGGTTACGGACAATATCATGAAATAAATACTCCAAATCCTGGAATTTGTGATGTATCTGTAACTATACCAAAGGAAAAACCACAACCCATGCAAACAGAAGACTAAGGAAACAGCACTACATCTTACCTTTGTTGGTTGGATACTAATCCCTTATCTTTGTTGATAGGGTTGTTGATTACATCTTGCCTTCATTGGTTGGATAACTTCATTTTACCTTTGTTGGTTAGATTATTATCTCTTATCTTTGCTGATCGGGTTGTTGATTACATCTTGCCTTCATTGGTTGGATAACTTCATCTTACCTTTGTTGGTTGGATTCTAATCCCTTATCTTTGTTGATCGGGTTGTCGATTACATCTTGCCTTCATTGGTTGGATAACTTCATCTTACCTTTGTTGGTTGGATTATTATCTCTTATCTTTGCTGATCGGGTTGTCGATTACATCTTGCCTTCATTGGTTGGATAACTTCATCTTACCTTTGTTGGTTGGATTATTATCTCTTATCTTTGCTGATCGGGTTGTTGATTACATCTTGCCTTCATTGGTTGAATTCTAATTCCTTATCTTGGTTGATTGGAATATTACATCTTACTTTAGATGGTTTCAAAATTATTACATCTGGGCTTTGCAAGCTGAATTTCGCCTTAAACCTTGCCTTTATTCGTTATATTAGATCCGACATTTTGAATTTTTGAAAACGGACATCACATTCGTAATCAGCGACCCCAAAAACCCCCGAGTAATAAGTTTCAAATCAATTGGATCGATTTCTAAAAATGTCGTCCGCCATATTGGATCCGCTATTTTGAATTTTTAAAAACGGACATCATATTCGTAATCAGAGACCCCAAAAACTCCCGAGTAACAAGTTTCAAGTCAATTGGATCGATTTTCAAAAATGTCGTCCGCCATATTGGATCCGCTATTTTGAATTTTTAAAAACGGACATCATATTCGTAATCAGAGACCCCAAAAACCTCCGAGTAACAAGTTTCAAGTCAATTGGATCGATTTTCAAAAATGTCGTCCGCCATATTGGATCCGCCATTTTGAATTTTTGGAAACGGAAGTCATATTCGTAATCAGCGACCCCAAAAACCCCCGAGTAACGATTTTTAAGTAAATTGGATCGATTTTTAAAAATGTCGTCCGCCATATTGGGTCCGCCATTTTGAATTTTTAAAAACGGACTTTAAATTCGTAATCAGCAGACGAAAATCTAAAGGGAACCATTTGGTCTGATTTTTTTAACATTATTATTCGATTATATTGCATATTCTATTTTTGGACATGGCCCCCTTTGACCCCCTGTATTTCGGAAAGGGGGCACATGCTCATCTTGAAATTTAGCAGGGATTATTGGGTCATCATATGTAACCATTTGGCATAAAAAAAGTTTCAAAATTCGAGGTACGAAAAAGGGGCATTTTTTGCATGGGGCTTGCCGAGGCTCTTTCGTTTTGTAGGCATCGTTAGCTTCCAACTCTTTGTCAATTTCTTCCTCAGTTGCATCAGACTTGATCATGCACTGCATCTAACTCCATCATTTTTGCTTCCAAAAATTGAAAAGCGACAAACTTTTCTTCTCTTGAACAATCGCTCTCCGCTTTGGCAGCAAACGCTGTGTGCGCTCTGGAAAATGCTGTACGTAAGGCCTTTCGTTCCTTCTTGATGGCGTCCTTTTTCTCCACGTGGTGATAAACTCACTTAACTTTAAAATTCCACTATCACAACTTCCCAACTTAACACAGTCCTGTCACGGTCGCCAGATTTTGAGACCAAGATAGGGAATAAAAAATATACTACGATTTAAAAGCACTCTAATATAAAAGAAAGGACATTTATTAAATTCGAAACTTGAAACATTTACAAAATTAAACTTTTCACGCAACGCGTCTTTTCTTTTCAGCCGGTCAGTCTTATCTAATCGTTCGCAGGCTTCGTCATCACATCGTCGTCATATTTCGACAAAATTCGGCATCGTTTTTCGCGGCAAATCCCTACTCTAATGTATTACTCATTCTCTCTCATTATTTCTCTCTCGATGTCACAACACTATTATTGGTATACATGTCGCGTTTCAGTTTCTAGATTTGTATATAAATTTTTATGTGTTTCGTCGAATAAATAAATATGGATTTGTTTTTAAGTGAATATAACTTTTTTCATTTGCGTGATCATAATTATCAAAATTTTGTGGGTGTATTTTTTTCGTTTATATAACCCAACCCTTTAAATTGCATGTTTAATTTTTCTCAT